TTGGCAGAATTCTAATAAACCATTTCATGTACATTAATCTAGATTAATTCCAAGATTACGGTTAGATTAATCTAGATCTATGTCCACCACTAATATTTATAATCAAAAAGTCCAACTGTAGATTTTTTTTTAATTGCTAATATTAGGGACTATTACCTGGTTGCCGTAATCCTTCCTGAGGGCCTCGTAGCGGATGAATCCCTGGAAGATGACGCCCTAGAAGGTGATGCTCTTATTGCTCGCCACCAAGATTCACACACACACCATCTCGCCGTCGTCAACGGTCATGTTGGCAGACAGGGCTAAGTCCAGGGTGGTTCTTACACCTGTGGTTCTGCTGCTGCGTAAAGAAAAGTAATTTAGCTAAATGCTGCAGCTGGTAAGGATGTTAGTTTCCTCCAACAAACCTGTTAAATTAGGTTTTAGTGCAGCTGCTCTGGATTAAATATGGTGGAAAGTCTAGCTTCTCTGCTGCAGTAACTTCTGCTTTATTTCCAGTCATCCCTATAAATCAGTCAAGTCCTTCTGGAATAATTTCAAACATTTCTTCCGGTTTTTTTCTGTTATTTTCAGACTTTAACCAGACCTCTGTTGGAGGTCTGGTTAAAGTCTGGTTAAAAGGAACCAACAGCCATTAGGTTGAATTGGCAGATTAATATTCATTTGTAGCCCAGCTGGTTAATTATCCCTGCATCCTGGGGACTGACTGGGTCAAACATGGTTTTATTTGGTCATTTTCTTTACGTATTGAATGGAAATGCTGACTGAAGACAAACCTAATCTAGTGAGAAACTATTTGTATTCTGTTCCATTGTTACTTTGTGTCACATTGTTCAGTGGAAAGTCTGCAGAATCAGATGCAGGTAGACACTCTGCTCCCAGTCGATGTCTGGCTCACCGAGGCCTGGAAGCTTCTTCCAGTCCCTTCTGTAGACTTCCACCTCCACCTAAAACCAGAGATCAACTCCAGTCATCAGCTTTTCTTTTTAGATGTGTCAACTTAAACTCTGCAGGTTTAAATTGTAATATATAATCTGTTCCTTTGCTTTTAATCCTCCCTTTTCAGGTGTGAGAGATTTCTCACTCTTTTTTTCCCTGTCAGACGCTCTTCAGGGAGATCCCAGGTCTCCAAATGCAAGGACTTGTATCAGTCAGAGACCTTCTAGAGCACCAGAACAGTTGCCATGGTTACATCTGTTTGTGTGGAGAGCTGATGGGATGAAAAGGCTCCATGATAGAAACAGGTGAATGCTGCAAACCAGCGATAGTATTGGAAAAGACAACAAGTCGATTGTTTTCCTGTTGTTCCTGGAGGGGAAATGAGGAGAGAAACTGTTCTTCATTTTGACTTTGAATGTCAAAAAGGCAAAGCAGGAAAAGCAGGAAACTCATCATGTGACCATCAACTTTGACCCTTTTCTTTGATAGATCACAATTGATGTTTCCAGCAAATCTCTATAAAAGCAGCAACAAAAACCTTGCAATGGAAAATATGAGTAAAAACATTAACAACACATCTTCTGAATTTATCAACATAAATCAGGGAACAGCTGAAAACATCTAAACTCAAAAGACAGGATAAACCTTCTTATCTTAAAACAGAAATCAATTAAGTTTATTTATATAATGCCGACTAACAACCTGCATCTGGATTCAATCAAATCATAGATGTTCTGGTTTAGAAAGGTTTCTATCCAGGAAAACCCAGCAGATAATTTTGATCGATGTGCAGCACAGCAGTTCAATGATTAATTGGCTGCTCTCCTCTTCAAAACCCTGGAAGATTCATGAAATAAATGGATATTAGCTGATACCTCACCTATGACAGCGATTAAAGTAGAGACTGGAAGAACCGGATCAAGAGGTTTGATGATTTCTTGTTACAGGTGAGTGTGCTCGGATTGGGATTCTGACCTGCACACACAAAACGAGGCAGATACCTGCCCATGATCCTTAATCAGGGAATAATTGATGAAAATAAAAGCTTGATGCTCTGATTGACCCGCTGTAACGTCTCTGTGGAAGAGCACCGGTGTTAAAGCCATGACACCGCAGCACAAAGCAGTCAGCTGTTCCTCCGTCTGAGGAGGAGGCCCAGATGAAAACTGTTAGCCTGAGCTGGACCTGGAGCAGCGAGGGGGTAACCCTGGCAACCGGCTTGGCTTATTGAAGGTTAGAAGGGCTCCTCTGAGCTCACTGGCTGCTCTCTGTCCTCCTAAAGGCACCCAGACTTCACCGTTACCAGCAGAATCCATCATTGGTTCATTTCAGGCTCACATTTTGTAGAACATTGATTCAGTTTTAGTTCTGGAGTTGTTTTCCAAGAGAATAAGTAATTAGTGCAAAGATAATCATGTTCAGCATGGTGAGAATTAACTACTACTCTTTGTTACGAGATAAATCACTTTGTAATTCTGGTTAACTGAGGCTAAAATGATGAGGTTTAAACTTCCATAATCAGAACCACGCTGGGCTTCCCTCTTACCTATGCTGGACAATGATCTTATTTTTTTTTATTATTTTCTAGATTTAAATCTCAGTCTTAATGTTTTCTATGTTATTAATTTGAACATATTTTGTCAGATTTTCATGTCTGTGTTTCTGTTTTCTTCAGTATAAATGTTTGTGCTTCTGCCCATCTGGCCATAACATTTGTTATGATCATTGTTTATATTCCTGATGTTGTTTGTCAGCTTTTCAGTTGCTTATAAAATACTAACTAACTAATAAAATAGTGCAAAACACCAGGACAAAATGCACAGCATGAGAATAATTGTTTTCCTTTTTTATGGTCCTCTAATTTTTTGTTTTATAAATATAAATTAATCAATTACTAAATGAATAAATGACAACTAGTGTGCAAGAGATAAAGGAAGTGTTTGCAGTTTTCAAAGAGTGAAGTGAAGCAAATCGGAAAATCTGATTTACTAAAAGAAAATCCCTCCTGAAGAAATAAAGAAACCAGAAAAACTTCTCTAAACGTCCTGAAAACTGCTTCACCAACTGGAAATAAAACATCCAGCTTTTAAGCTTCTACTCAGCAGCATTGAAACCCAACAAAGAAGAATATTAAAACTAGGGCTGAAACAATTAATCAGACTAATCGTAATTTATCAATTATTACCATAATCAACTAATTTAGTCATTGATTAATCATTAAATGAAGTATAGAGATTCTAAAACTTGCCTTTAGCTGATAGAGGGACCAACTTAGAGCAAGATTTTGAAAATATACACAAACATTCTGCATTTAAGATAAAAAAAAAAGGTTTCATCTGTCAATATGCTCTATCCAGAAACAGTTGTAGTTCACTATAATTTTAATTATTTTAATAGTTATCATTTATAAAATTCTTATCAACTGTAGCTGTGAATTTCATCCACTTTGACCTTTAACCTGACCGGAAGCTAACCTTATTTATTCTCTGATCAACCGTCTATCTTGTAAATACACTCTTACTACACAGTTAGTATAGTATTAGCTATTGCGTTAGTATTTCACTAATTACTCCACCTTCTCCACATTAGGGACAGTATTTGCGTTGTTTGTGTGTTTGTTTATTTTTCCTGTTTTTGCTGTTAGCATGCTAGCTAACCAGCTTCGGATCATTAATTAGCTAGAAGTTAGCAAACGGTTAAGGTTTGCTTTACGGAGCAACGACAGAAAAACTAGTTCTGCTGGTTATGTGTTTTTTTTTTAGGTGTTTCTAACAGCTTCTTACTAACTTTGACAGAAATAATAATGAGTGAAATAAATGAAGGCGAGCTGGAGGTTCTGTTGGACAACTTCTCTCCGTTACCTGATGAGTTTGAAGACCTGCTGCGGGAAAACATGAGCGGGGAACCTGAGTGCAGTTGGCCCCCCCACCTTATTCAAATAGGACAAAATTTGTGTCAAACGTTTGTGCCGCTACCATTTTAAAGATATAAAAAAATGTTTCTAGAGGTATTCAAAGGTCAACCAGCCCCCCCCCAACATTTTGCTTCAAATGAGGCAAAATGGGTGTCAAATAAATCGCCTCCGTTTGTGCAGCAAAAATTTTCGTCTGTGCCGCTATCATTTTTTTTTTACAGTTTAAAATTATATAATCATAGGTTAGCAACTTATAATTTATATGAAATTCAGAGTTTCAGAATGAACAAACGTTCACTGACCTTTGATAGCTTCTACAAACAATTATTAATATCATTAAAATGATAGCAGTACAAAAAAATTATATATTTTAAAATATGCAATAATTAATATATTTTAAATATTTTATATATAAAATTTATTTTAAAATTTTATATTTTTGAACGGCAAAGATTTTCATTTGTAATGCTATCATTTTAATGATATTAATAATTTGTAGAGGTAATCAAAGGTCAGTTAACATCTGTTTTTGCTGCACAAATGTTTGACACCAATTTTGTCAAATTTGAAGAAGGTGGGTTGACCTTTGATGACCTCTAGAAACATCTCTTTATATCTTTAAAATGGTAGCACCACAAACAAAATAACTGTAATATCTGTTCACTCTTCTGTGTGGGTCAGCAGCAATGACCATTCTTTTGCTGACATATGGGGGCCAGAGAGTCTCCAGCCTCACCTAGCTGGCGGACTTTTCAGTGAGGTCTTCCCGTGAAATGGCCGCTATGGAGGGGCCGGATAGAAGGTAAGATCTTCCCGTGCAATTTTTGCTTGTATCAATGATTTGTTAAACATGACTGGAATAAATTCTGTTGATACTGTAACATGTTTCTTCCTTTGAGTATGCCATCTGAAAAACAATACCTCCATCGTATTTTGACCGGGTAGAAAGGGTTCTACAACAACAACAACAGTGATAATTCTACATGGATTTTAACGGTTCATCCTGTATTCAGATTTCCTTTAAAGACTAACCTTCAAGCAACAACTTTCTTTCTAAGAAATAACATGAAGAAACTCATCTGTTTAAACTAAATTTGAAGTAATTAAATTCACCAAACAATGACCACAAAGAAAAAGTGAAGACAAATTCATTAATCATCATCTGAACATTTTAATACCATTAAATAATGTAGAATACAGCTTTAGGTGTCTGAAAAGATCAGAGAAAACATGGAAAACCATGATCTTTAACTTATATAAAACCAAAGAAATTTTACAATACATGAGATTTTTGTTTCTGCTCAGTACATCAAAGTAGAAATAATTACATTAATTGGAAACACCCACCACAGAGAATGCAATAAATAAACAAAACAACATTTGTATAAAGTAGATGATAGTGTCAATGAAAGATTTCCCTGAAAACAAAAGGCCTTTAACATGCGAGATTCTCATGTAATGAGGAGGAGTTTCTAGATGGACTTTGTTGCGTTCCTATCAGCTTTTTCCAATGAGTTAGTCATGATTCCTGGCACTAGTGCTGGTTTCATTTAGTATTTAATCCACTATATAACTCTCAGACCTGACACCAGTGCCAGATTATGACGATTCATTGCTGAGTTTTCTGACCCTGACCCCTATCAACCTGTCAAAGTGTTTTCTGACCTCTTTTCTGAGTCATTCTGGCTGTCTCTGCTCCCATGGACAATTTTCATTGGGTGGTCAGTAATAACTGGATCTTAAAGGGGTCATAGAATTCAAAAGTGAGTTTCCATTGTCATGGATGAATAATAATAGTTCAGTGGGTGAAACAGGCGTACAGAGAAGTTCAAAACCCATCGACACCTCCTTTCTCTGCAAATCTCACAATTCTAAACCTCCACCAAAAAACGGGCGAATCAGAACAAAGCCCAGGGTTGACGTAAACTCAGGGATGTTGCCTTATCTGGTTCTGGCCTGTACTTTTGTCACGTCACGAAATTGGGGCCACTGACTGGACCGGACCGGGCACTCAAACTGAGCCATCAGCTCCAGGGCTGGTCCGGGAACCCTGGCGGACGGAGGAACCACTTGTTCCCTACCCTAGTCTGGCAGTTCTTGGACCAGCCCCGGATCTGGCGGCTCAGTTCTGCTGCACTGTAGTCGACCAAAATCCCAGACTACTGTATTCCCACTGGACATTTTTTTTTAGGTATGAAAAGTAGGACATGCCCGGGAAAAAGAGGACGTCTGGTCACCCTACTATATTAACAATTTGATGTTTCAGTTAGTGAGTGCTTGTTGCTATGAAGCGTCTTTGCTCAGTAGCTTCGCACGTTGTAAACCAACCAATCAGTGCACAGCTCATCAAAATATTCATGATCATACCATAAAAGGAAGAAAACCTGTTGTTTTATTCTAGGGCTTTTAACCAGACTTGCATTAGGGCGCATAGAACAGCAAATATGCCATCTCAGCCTCTCACGACCACCACCAGCTACATATCACTGCGGAGCTGAATCCAACATGGTCTTTAGTCGTACAGTGTGAGCCGGTAGATTGCACCAGAGCACCAGGCCGGACATAAATCTTGAGCTGTGAGCTCACGCTGTACAACTTGACTCTGCGGTTTTAGTCATACAGTGTGAGCAGAAAAAATTGTAGTGTACGCCCAGCTTAAAGAAGATTTGCAATTCTTCCACTAGGTCAGACTCACCACCGGTAAGTGAAAATGGGGAAGAGCACTCAGGACAGCCTTACGTAAACATATCACCAGTGTGATTGACAATAAGAAAAACCACTTACTCTGATGATCCACCCACAAAAAAAACATCCTCCACTATACCTTTAACTTAAGAAGAACTTCCCCTAAAACAACACATTCATCAACACTTTCTTCCACTACTGATCTGCCATCAGTGTTAGATGGCATCCCCTACTTCCTGTTTACTACAGCCTTGAAAAACGACGTAATGTGGACATTATTTTTGCTGCTGTTGTTTAATTTACTGCCAACCAAAGGTAAAGACCACTAATTTGCATAGCCTTTTTCTCCATTTAAAATGTGCTTAAAACTCACATTTTAGTTGGAAAAAGCTATTCTATAACAGGTCAAACATAGAAAACGGCCTCTACTGTTCATTCCTGTGGCTCTCAATTGCTGTGGCTTTTTATGTAATACAATAGATCTCTAATTTGTTAGGTTTATTCTTTTATACATCATGTGCATTGCTACTTTGTTAGCCAGATAGAGTAGATGGCCTTCCTTCACATTGTGGATGTCACTTTGTGTACGTGGGTCATCTAAATAGGACAGCTTTTTTGCCTTTTAAAGATACACAGGATTTGGGCACATCTTGAAGCCGGACTGATAGAGGAGAGCTATCTATAATCCTTGGGCATGGATGGCGTGTCAGTTTCTGATACGGACAGCTAAGCATCCACCTGGTGCAACACATAGACTCATGAGCTATAAGAAGCAGGAGATTACCTTCTTCGGGGCTCAATTTTTGCCGGACACTCGCGGACGCGATTTTTGAGCCCACAGCTGTGCAAGCTCAGAACATGTTTCTCTGTCCTGTAATGACCTGATCTGGAATAAACTCTGTTACTTTTTACTCCTGTTTTTATAGTCCTTTTTATATGGTTTTACCCAGTTTGAGTTAAGAGCAGTAAGTAACTTGCTCCCAGGAAAATAACCGGTGGGGAAGCCCAGAGGCGCAACTGCCTTTTTAGGGGACATACCTTCCTCTATTTAACAACTTTTAAGAAAATTAGTTTTACATTTCAAGGTTTCATGTGTTTCTCACATGTCGTCATGTGTCTGGTCAAACAAAATTTTTCAGTAAAATTTTTCCCACAAGTAATACAGGAAAATGGCTTCTCACCTGTGTGAGTTTTGAGGTGTTTTTTAAGAGAAGATTTTAAAGTGAAGCCTTTTCCACAGGACACACATGTAAAAGGTTTCTCGCCTGTGTGGGTTCTTAAGTGATGGGTCAAACGACTTTGTGCAGAAAAACTTTTGCCACAAAAAGTACAAGAAAAAGGCTTCTCACCTGTGTGAATTTGGATGTGTTTTTTAAGAGCATAACTCGAGGTGAAGTCTTTTCCACAGGACACACATGTAAAAGGCTTCTCACCTGTGTGGGTTCTTATGTGTTGGGTCAAATTACTTTTTTGAGAAAAACTTTTGCCGCAAATTGTACAAGAAAATGGCTTCTCACCTGTGTGAATTCTCATGTGAGAAGTCAAACAATGCATTTCATTAAAATTCTTATTGCAAATAGTACAGTAGAAAGGCTGCTCACCTGTGTGAGTTCTGATGTGTTTTTTAAGAGCAGATTTTACAGTGAAGCCTTTTCCACAGGACAGACATGTAAAAGGCTTCTCACCTGTGTGAGTTCTTATGTGTTCGGTCAAACGACCATTAAGAATAAAACCTTTGCCACAAATCGTACAAGAAAATGGCTTCTCATCTTTGTGTATTCTGATGTGTTTGTCAAGATTCGACTTCTTACTTAAGCTTTTTCCACAGTAAACACATTCATAAATCTTCTGACCTGTGTGAGTTCTCTTGTGATCCATTAAATGTTCTTTTTTAAGAAAGTTTTCTCCACATGTCAAACATGGGAAAGATTTCTCTCCTGTTTCTCCAGTCTTTTCGTTTAGATCAAGCTGCTCTTCATGCTCACTTATAGGGACCTCAATGATCTCCTCTTTTGTCCAGGGATGTTCTGGTTCTTGCTTCTCTTCTTTCATCTGCAGAGGTTCTGGCTCCTCTTGGTCCAAACTGGAATTCCTCTCCTGTCCACAGAGCTGCTGATCAGAGAAATCCTCCTCTTTTGCAACATAATCCATCAGGCGGTCTGGAAAGACAAACACAGCAGAAAATCGTCCCATTGTTTATTGAAGAAAAGAAACTTCTATTTAATCATTATTGTGTTGATCTAACTACATGCAAACAGATTGGAACTAAATGTCCCAGCTTGCACTGCAGCTGTTGACTTCACAATCACAGATTATAGAAGACTGGTCAATGCTCCTACAGCTGGCAAGGTTTGGACTCCACTTTAAACATTAAAACTTTAGAATCTGTCTGAACATATTGTCTAGAGCTTCTCAGCCATTATCAACACGTTTATGGGTCAATGGTGTGATGGCTACTTTTTTCTGTCCAATTGAATTTTATTCCCGTTTAAAAAAACACTCAAAATACCATACTCAAATTTTCCCAGTACACAAACCCAATCTTAACTTTCCAAACAATTTAATTAGTGCTGTTTACTGCCATCTGAAAAGTTAAAACATCATGTGGGAAGACCATCTAGCACTGATTTCTATTTACACAACCAGTTTACAACTTCAATATCTGTCAATAGCTATATATATATATATATATAGATATATATATATATATATATATCTATATATATATATATATATATACACACACACACACACACACACATATATACATACATACACACACACATATGTGCAGTATGCATTAAACCAAAACTTGACCGGTGCAAAAATGTGGGTACCCTAATCATTTTATTGAGTTTAATACCCTTAACTACTTCTTACTCACTTACTTAGGATCTACTAAATATCAATGACTGTTTTTATGTTGAGGTGCCAGTATTTTTTGCACCTGTGGAGTTTTGTTTTAATGCGTACTCCATATTTTTTTCTTTATATATTTTTAAAACATAATCTTATAATATATGAATATTTGTTTATCATAGTAATATTTGCAAAACATATAACTTTACATATCTCTCATCCAGTTGGAGTTCAGCATGAAAAAAGTTTTTAATATGAATAAATTTGTAATCTAACGTAAATGTTTTAGATTTTAGATTTTTTGTCTTTTATTTGGTTGTGATTATTGTAATATTATCTCTGACTTGTCTTTCATGTGATTAATGAGATCCAAGGTTGTCTTCTATTCATTCTGACAGTGAACTGTGGGTATGTGAAGATGGCTGCCCTGTAGACACGACGGCCAGCGTCCAATGAGGCGTCTACGTATATAATGTTGATAGTTAAAACCCCCAATTATAGACACACACATATATATACATATACATATAGTACAGTGGATCCTGGATTGACTGTCGCGGCCCAGAAATTACGAGCCCCTTGTTGGGGAGGTCGAACTGCTGCCATACCCTGCTGCTTGATGAAGAAAAGAAGAAGGACATGGATACATGGATAACTTCATGAAGGCATCAGAGCTTTGGAAGACATTACACAGCAGATATACACTACCTAGAATATAAACTCCCTTGGTTGGCCCACTGTGGGTAAACAGTGATGTTAGAGCAGCAACAGATTACAGCAAAAGAGATCACACAATGTTGACCTTAAAACGTGTATAAAAAAATAGAATAAGTGACGAACATTTTTATATTATAAAAAAAATCTTTAAAAATGAATAAAAGTTTAAAATCAAATAAAAATGAGTGCCTGATCTGGCTAAAGTAGTACAACCATTTGGCATATATTTGGAGACAGTGGGTCACATGACCTGGAAGCCATTGAAGAAAAGTCCCAACTTTGTCTTTAAAAATATCTTAAAAATTGAAAAAAAGCAAGTGTTCCTTATATATGCTATCTATTGGCATGATTAGTTTGGTCTTAGCTGGTCATAAGATGAGGACTTTTTGATTTTTGTTTCTCAATAGTGCTTGGTTCAAAGATTTGTTGACGGTCCCTAAATGCACCACAGTTGGAGGAGGGAGCAGCTGAGAGACGCTGGCCGACATCAGAGTTCCGCCATCGGATCACCTGTTTCGTAGATCCTGCTGAAAAACGACATTGTCAACATCTTTGTCCAAGTGTGCCGCTAACTCAAACACACGGTCTGTCAGAGCGTCCAAACGAAAAATAATAAAGTCCATACTTATAACGTTAGCAGTGTTTTCAAAAACAGTTGCTTAATGTCTCAGCTCACTGAGAACTTCATGGTAGGTAGCCATGTTTGTTGTGCTGTGGCCGATGGCTGCTAAGCAACCAATGGGCAGATGGTGACCCTCTAAGACACGTCCCTCCTCATTCGCATAATGAGGCAGAAATGCAGTTAGGAATGTAAAAGAAATAAATAAATAGCATGGAAGAAATAAAAAGAATATACAAAGGAAGAATAAACCAGACAAAAATATAACAAGCACAAAAAAAAATGCTTAAAGAAATAACTAGTTGAAGATTATTACGGACAATAAATAAATAGGTTAATTATTTCAAAGACAAAAAAAAAACAAATAAGCTAATTAAAAGAGATATGTACATTTATAGCTCACTGTATAAGTTCATTAATACATACATTTATTTGTTTATTGTATTTTGGGGGGGATTAATTGTATGCTGATTTATTTTTGGAGAATTTATTTGTTTCTGTATTTATTTTTAAGTATGACAGGACTTGTCCTCCATATTTGTTTGTTTTCAGGAAAAATTTGTTAAACTTCAGCGAGTTATAGTGGATTAAAATTTATCCTGTTCCTGCTAAACACATGACACTGAACGGAGTGACCGCCCCAAGATGGCGCCGACAAATCACTTCAGCGCCCCAAAGGGGGGCGGGGAGTGATGGGGTAATTTAAAAATATGTCTTTGCCCCCCCTTTCTTTAAATGTCGAGTGACGGGGGGTTTAGATGGGGTATTTGCGGAAGTTTTTACTCCCCTGCCCAAAAAGCGTAGATCCGGTCCCTTTCCCAAATTTTAAATAATTCAAAGGGGAAAATTAGCTTTTGTTAAAAAACCAAAACCCTTGGTGTTTTCCCAAAAGTGTTAAAAAATTCCCCAGTGTGCATATCAGGGAACGTTTCTATCAGTGTTTCCCACCTATCCCCTGTGGATTGGGTCTGGGGGATCCTGTGCTGATGTTTCCCTCTTCTCCTGTTTACTCTGAGCCCGGGGAGGGAGAATTTTCCCAGCTCTTTCTTCTTTGAACTCTTTTTTTAAATTGTGAATTTTTTCTTCAGCAGGGGGTTAAAAATGTCGGTGATTAAAATTTTGAAGCTGGACTGAAGACCCTTTTCACGCAAAACTCCTGATTATAGCTCTTACAATGGGTCCACACAAAAAGTAAGCTAATGCTGCTAATGTACCGATCCCCACCGCAGCCCCCGCGCATGGTAGCTACATTTACATCCGGGTCACTTTCGATTTTAATTTACGTATTTCCCTAAAAAAAAAAAAGAAAGGAAAAAGTAAACAAACTAAACTTCTTCTTTTTTTTATTGTTTTTATTTGGGGGTTGGCAAAACGTTAGGGGAGATTTCCCCACCAAAATTTGGGATGGGGTGTGGGGCTAATTGGGAGAAAAAAAAAAAAGAAAAAAAAAAAATCTACTATTTACAACCCAAAACTGTTTCAAAAAAATTTAAAAAATTTTAACCCCATATCCTCTGTTCCTGATTCCTTCTGCAAAAAATCGACAATGGTCAAAATTTATTTTATTTCATAAGTTTCCTAATTTAACCTTTTTTCTCGTAAACGAATATTTCTACCCAAATTTAAAAAGACATGTTCCACAGTCTCATTTCCCACAGTACATTTCCCCGGGTTTATGTTTCCCCATCAAAAAAAACGATCTATTAAATCCAGTGTGCCTTATTCTAAGTGGAAAAAATAATTTTCTTTTCCTGTTCCCTTTTTATTTTAATTGGGGCCAATTTTTTTTGTATTTTATAAAACCCCCTTCCTTTTTTTTTCATTCCATAAATTTTGCACTCTCTTTTTCTTTTTGTTTAATTATACCCCTTTAAATTTTGTTATACCAAAACTAACATTTTAAAGTCTACCCCCAAACTTTTGGTACTTCCCTTTGCCATCCTGTCTGCCTTTCATTTCCCTTTTTTTCTCGTTATGTGCCGGAAACCAAAAAAAATTTACCATTTTGCCCCTTATATTTATTCTGTAAAAATGTTTTGTATTTCCAAAGTAATAAAATTGGTCTATGACTGGGCTGATTATTTTGCAAAATGATAATGACGAATGGAATCTGAGAAATGATTTGTTTTTAAAGGTCTTACCCCTTCCACCCCTTTTAACGTAAAAAACAAAGTAGTTTCACCCGGGTTTTACTGAAAAATCATAATCCTTTTTTCCCAAAATTTTTATGAAACTGTGGTATAATAAATTCTATTCCTATTATTAGCAGTATTTTTTGAAACATCTGTTTATATTTTTATATGATTTAAAAGGTTTTTTAAGTGTTTTGTACTATTTTATTTATTTAAAAATTGGGTTTTATCTTTTTTTTCTTTTTAATAATGGGATAACTTTTTTAAGGGGAAACCAAAGGTTTTAATTCTGTTTTTAATGTTTCCAAAAAATCAAATGATTTTAAATTAATTTCTTAAAAAAAATTTTTTTACTAACCCTTTAAACCAAAAAATTTTTTTTCCCTTTTCCAAAACCATTTAAAATTTAAAATGATTTTTTTTTTTTTTAAAAGCCCCTAAAAAAAAAATTGAATTTTCCTTTTAAAAAAATTTAATCATTTCCCATTTAACCTTAAAAATTTGTTTAAGAATTTCCCAAAAGCGAATTTTAAAAATTCTTAAAAAAAAAAAAAATCATTAAAATATTTTAAAATTACCCTGAAAAATATAAAAAAAAAACATCCCCCAATCAAAAAAAATCCTTTAAACCCCAAAAAAAACAATATTTCCCCCCGCTCCCCACTTCCCCTTTCCCAATAAAATTGAAATTTTTTTTCTTCCTCTTTATGATTAAATTTTAATTTTTCCCGACCCCCTTATTCCCTTTTTAAAAATGAGGAAAATTTAAAAAAAATTTTTAACTCTTCCAAAACGCAAAATTTTAAGTTAAAATTTTTTCACCCAAACCTTTTCCAAAAACCCAATTTGGGTTTCTGTATGTTTAAAACCCCCTTTTAGGGAAAAA